CAAATTACCACTACGTAGCACCCGTTTTCAATCGGTTGAAGACATAAAGGAGAATTCGCAGCGAGAACTGAACTCAGTTCCGGAAACAGCGTTTAAAAATGTTTTGATGATTGGATTATTCGTTGGCGTAAGTATATCGTTTCTGAAGGAGCATACTTTGAAGGTGATAAAATAAATTTGGATAAATAACAAACATTTTGTCTATTATTGATCTTTTCCCGGTACTTTCTTGACAGGTAGTATCTCTTGCCGCACCCCCTGCGCGCACGCCGCCCGGGGGGCCCGCACCCCCCGGCCTTCCTCGCTATGCTGCTGCTAATACAGCTTACAAACGATTGCGCTGTGCAACATTGTATGATATTTAAGTTAAAGTAGGTACTATTTAAAGTCTATTTAAAATGCCGCTTCCATTGCCACTCATTTAATACAGGTTTTTGTTTTATAAATAAAAATAAATGTGCTTTTAAGACTGGCTCCTTCATCATAAAATTAATGAATATTCAGATAAATGTACAAAAAATAAAAATTATTCCTTTATTTATCAAACATGAATATCAGTGATAGTGTTCAGATATTGACCCTCCCTGAAAATGAGTCCTAAATACTTTCGCAGGTCGTCAATGAGAGCCTGTTTTCGGCCTTGATTTCATATGAAAGGCTGATTAATAAATGTATGCTGATGCTTTTGTACAAGGCTTTAAAGACTAATATTATCTATTTAAAGATGTTTTTTAAATATATATATTATTTTTATTTATTTGAGAGAAAACTTGAAGCAAACCCTTTTTTTTTTTTTTTTTTTTTTTAACGTGTGGAAATCCCCTCGGACCGTCACCCCACCGGGGTTTGCGGCGGGGTGGTGTGTCGGACTCGAACCGACTAAAACCACACGGTGTGCCCTCTTTGCGCTTCCAGTTTAGGAGGGGTCCAGGTAGTAATCGCCTTCTGGACCTCTCCCAGCGCCGGCCCGCTCCTGGTGCGGGCTCCGTCTCCACTTATCCTCTCTTTAGGCGACGTCCGGCACACGCGGACGCCGCCCCCTCGCGGCTGGCCAACTAATGCGGGTGGAGGGGAAACCCACCCCGTCCACCCGCGGCCACACTCAGGGCGGCATGAGGCGCAGGTAAGCGCGCCTCCGCCGCCCGGTTCGCCGGCGGCGGGTCAGGTCCGAGTGGAGGTCGTCCTCCCGGGCCTTCTCCGCCGCCTCCTTCTGCGAGATTACCTCCTCGCAGAAGGTTGCGACCGCGGTAAAACAACTGTCGCTACCGGCCATGGAGCGAATTACGGCCGGTAGCGAGAGATCTGCTCCGATGACTGCAGTGAGGGCCCGGCGCTGCGTCGCCCATGCGGGGCAGACCGCCAGTGTGTGCTGGGCCGAGTCCTCACTGCAGTCGCAGTGGTGGCAGGCGGGACTCAGTTCCCTCCTAGCGACCGAGTGCAGGTACTTTCCGAAGCAACCGGAAAGCACCTGCGTCAGCCGGAAGGAAAGGGCCCCGTGCTGCCGCCCTGCCCACTCGGCTATGACCGGCTGGAGAGCCTCCACGGCGGCGAAGCCAGCGCGTGGAGTCTCCAGTCACGACCATGTGACCATGGTGGCTCGGCGAGCGGCTTCGCGCCACTCGCGCACGTCTTCGGGTGGAGGGCGAAATCCGCTCTCCGCCCGGAAGTCAGCCACTCGCCGATAAACTTCGGCGAGCACCTCCGCCTCCAAATCCCACGGGGGTGTTCCGGCCAAGGCGCAAGCCGCCTCGGTGGACACCGTGCGGTATCCGCGTATGGCTCTGACCGCCAATATCCTCTTGGGGCGCCAGAGGCGCGCCCTATTCGGGGCGGTCAGAGCCGCCACCCACGCCACCATGCCCCCACGCCACGCCATGGACCGGACAACCCCCGCGTACAGCCGCCTCGTGGGAACACTGGCCCCGCCCAAATTGGGCAAAAGTCGCCCTAGGGCGGAGGCAGTGTCCATTGAAGCAAACCCTATACCAACCCGTCTGGCAAGCGCTGTATAGTAGGCCAAAACCTCAATTGTAAGGAGAGGCCTATGACCAACATTGGACTGTTAGGGGCTGTTGTTGATGAAGATTTAAATTATATTGAGTGAGCCACGTTTCGGCATAAATGGGCCCGATCGACTGACGTGATGCCACGGCCTTACAGAAAACCGTAGTTCAGCATTTCTTCTTTCTAGATTTTATGTTAGATTCTATGGTAAGGATCAAAGCCCGGTAACGCACTGACTCTTAATGATAAGTGATAGCGTAACTCATTGACACTTACAATACTAGAGTCGCAAGTTTGCCTTTAAGGTCAAAATGCAGTTCCGATCTACCCTCGATCTCACAAATGTTATCTTCTATACACATAATTAAAATTGGAGTGTCTGTTTGTAATGTCAAAATGATAGGTTTTTTCAAGCTCTTACACGGTTATTAGCACGATACCTATGCCTATAAACCAGTTTAAATATTTTTGGTTTGTCTGTCGTTCGTTGTAGTCTTTTCTTTGTAATATAGTAAAATATTCCTAACACCGATTACCGATTCAACTTTCGGTCACAAAAGGTCAACGTTGGATGTTTAATACTTACTACGAAAATACCATTTATGACATAATAATAATAATACTTTCTACATTTTCATTTCACAATATTTTCATACATTTCACACACGACCGTCCGTCTGGTCCCGAACTAGGCAGAGCCTGTACTATGGTAACCAGATTGCTGATAAACATACTTATATTATATTTCTAAATACATGCATATTATAGACTAGCTGGTACGTGGTGGTTAGTGGGTTCGATTCCCGGGCTGGGCTAAATTTAATAGGGTTTTTCTGAGAGGAAAAATAGCTTAAGTTACTCCTTATATAGACAGCTACCTGGTAGGAAAATATTATCAAAGTCGGTCCAGCCGTTTTGAAGAATACCCGTAACAAACAGACAGACTGATTAAAATATTTAAACTGTATCGGTATCATGCAAATGACCGTGTAAAACAAATGCTAGTGATCATCACAAAACAATATCCGGCGTGGGAATCGACCCATCTATCACTAGCTTAACAGTCAGGATCACTAACCACTAATCCAACAGGCCCGCCTTGACTGCTATCTAATAAACAATATATAACTTAGTACTGCTATCAAAATTCAAATTTTTCTAATGTATTTTTTACTACAAAAATTAAGGAAATAGTCGTCTGCCTTTAAATGTATGTTATAGCGGCAATAACGCTCAAATTTCGCCGTCACTTCCTCCAAATGTTTGCAATTCAAATTGTTAATTAACTTGGAATACTAAACTCTATAGGATTATTTTAAATCAAATTGTGTACTTTTGAAAGGGATGCGAGTACTTTAATTACTATATCATTCAATGTTGCATTGTTCATTTTTAGGAGTGATTCAGGCACACAATATAGGCACCTTGTTGGACTATTACACAACCTTAGTCTGTGGCTTCATCTAGGACCTTCTTCTGTATCTTTTCATCGACAAAGATAAAACTGTAGAGCAGGTGTCAACGGTCTCGGACATAATAGTTTTTCTTTTAGCAAGCAAATACAACAAGCAAATAATAATTAACTACGTCTTCGTATTTCAACCGTACGCGAACTTCGTAATCTGGGAACGTAGGTTGGTGAGGATACGCAGGAATTTTATGGCTTATGCATACATAGTTAATATTTATTTGAATTTTAGTATAGATAGCTTGTACCCGCAACTTCGTTCGCGTTTCATCCGAAAAGCGCTCCCTTAGTGGGTTCAATTTCCGGACCGGGCAAAGGTTTTTCTGAGAGGAAAAATAGCCTAAGTTACTCCCTATATAGACAAATACCTGGTAGTACAATATTATCAAAATCGGTGCAGCCGTTTAGAAGATTACCCGGAACAAACAGGCAGACAGAAAGACAGACAGACCCAAAAAAAAAACTGGTTTTTAGGCATAGGTATCGTGCAAATAACCGTGTGAGAACGAAAAACACCTATTATTTTGACATTAAAAACAGACACTTCAATTTTATTTATTTGTATAGATGTGAATCACATCAAATCAACAACAGCCTATGATAGTCCACTGCTGGACATAGACCTCTCCTTAGACAGGAGGTTTTGGCCTACTATACCACGCTGGCCAGACGGGTTGGTATAGGGTTTATTTCAAGGTTTCTTTCTTTTTGCAGTACTGTTGTCCTGTGCAGTTTGTTCCCTTAATCAGCTCTTACGACACCCACGTGATGAGTAGGGATGGTAACATTCCGTATTCTTAATCCGTCACCACACGGATGTAATAGATGTTAATAATAGCAATAAAAATTTAATTTGATTAAATCTTCAAATTTAATAGTACAACAATTCTAAGAATGTCATGGTTTTATTTATTTTGAGAAATTATTATTATTTTCATGGTTACATTCATTGAGATGTCATGACAAATATTCAAACCGCCAATATCTTATTTGACGTTTCGTTATTAATTCCCAACTTTAAAAGCTATGAAACACATGACAAGGCACATGTCTTTAATATCCACAATTTCACCGTTCTTTTTATGTTTTTAGCTGTCATTTAAAATTTTCTCGCAATTTTTTTTTTTTATCATTAATTTTAGCCCAGAAACTTTATATTGTTATTAGGTAGACATCCAGGATTGTCAATCACTAATCACTTGTAATTATAGCACTCCTTGAGGCAGTTAAAAGTAGTTTTCACATCGATGAACACAACGTTCTAATAATAGACATACCTGCTTATGCACAATCTACTTAGTTGAAAAACTACTAATATATTTATAGATATTTGGTAAATTACACTATTTACTCCTGTTTTTACCTACTAAATGATTTTTGTCGTAAGCGATCCTCTGTTTTAGCTTTATCACTGCATATAAGTATTCTAATTGCAAAAGGTACTAGATAACGTAACGATACTAAAATATTAAATTAGGATACAAATCAAGAGCGACCCTGTCGTAAATATAGGTATTGGTAAACTTACATGGGAGGTGAGAAGTGTATAAACAAAGTGGCCGACCGAAGATAGTGGGGTCAAACAGCGCACGACCGGTTCAACGAAACCGCGCAGAGAGACTAAACACAGCTCGAGACCTCGAAAGCTTTTATACACTCTATACAACTTCTATATAAAATACTTTTAAATAAACCTTTTTAGATGTAAACCACGATAGTTTAACAGTGAAAAAGAAAAGTCATTTTTAGATAAGTATAAAATAATTCAATTAAGTAAAAACTATCAATAGATCAATGTTAAGATTTAATCAAATAGATCGAGTGTGCTGAGTGTGCAATAGCAGACAGCTACTTGTACAACGATTACTGTGTCATGTATGTAAAGTTAACTATTGCGAGAACTCGTTGTTGTGAATTCGACTCGGATAGGTAATTCAAGGTCCATCCCCGTGACCGCTACATCCGCAAAACATTCAGACAGTCCAATTACATTCTCACTCACGCATAAAGTGATTGTGTTAATTTGAAAAAAAAGTGCCTAACTAAACGATTCTGCAATTTAGCACTAGTGATATACATATGTGATGTAATATGTCAACTAACGGACAGAATAATTGTAGTAAGTAGTCATAATAATGACTATCTGATTAAATGTACTAAGTAGTATGGATAGCATTCGATTATTTGTAACAATTGCATTATTCATTATTTTAGGGTTGTCAAATTATGAACTTTATTCGTAAAAGATAATGATTTTTGTACAGTTCGAGCAAATATAATATTTTTCATAATCATATGCAAGCATAGTAGTAGTAGTAGGCCAAAACCTCCTTTCTAAGGAGAGGCCTATGTCCAGCAGTGGACTATTAAAGGCTGTAGATGTGATGTGTGTGATGATGCAATCATAAGCAGTATTTAAGACGGAAGGATCACTCCCATTAACACAGGATTAGAGATACTTATGAGTATATTATGTGCACTATTATCGCTTTTATACATAGCTCAATGTCACATAATTATTTAACTACATTCTAAATACTTTTGTAAACAAGATTTCCATTAGCTGTGGAAAAAAATATTTTTAATACTATAGGTTACAAACGAGAAGAAGAGTATTTTTTTATTGAGATTAATCTCCTACACGCCCACCAATGTAACTCTTGTACATCAGGATCAAGAGCAGTGACCTACGAACACAGCGAGTTATGACACTCGGGCAGTCCCAGGAAAAAATTTAAATGTCTTGGAACCCGCAACGAAAATAATAAAAATAATATTGGAGAGTTAAAAATATAATAAATCCACTTCCCTCCTTAGCAAAGCAGGGGGCAAAATGAAGTAAAATAGGCATACACCCTTTTAAACAAGGAAGCACCAAGGCCACAAAATATTAGAAGAGTCACCAGATTTTAAGTGACTGTATATGAGAAGTAAGTGAGTGTATATGAGAAGAAAAGTCACCGGATTTTAAGTGACTACTAACGACTATGGACATCTGAAACTAAGAGCCCCAAGCGCGTTACCGCCTTTTGAACCCCCGTCCACCTGAGAATCAGGGAGAGGGAGGGTATGGACCTCCGATAATGTTATTCGATAAAAAAGAAAGCAACGAAAAAATCACTTAACATCGGTTTTCTGTAAGGCCGTGTTATCAGTCCGGTCGAAACGGCCCATTTGTACCGAAGCAAGGCTCCCCCGCAATGCACTTTTAAGTTAGCTAGGTATGTTTTAATAGGAAAACTCTTAGTTTTAAACAAAAAAAGCACCTGCGGACCATTGGCTTAAATCTTTCAAAAATTTCTGCTTACCACACGTTCATTGAAAGTCACATCTTTGACCTTGGTACGTATAACCTATCAGCAGTACTCAAAAATCCAGCCTGAGACATAAATTTACCATTTAAGTTGTCAATAGTCACGCAAATGAGTGCGTTGCAGATATAAATACAACGTTAATTTCCCACTGTTACTTTCGTCAAGCATTAATATTGCTGAAATAATTGAAGTCATATTTTTTACAAGATAATTAGGCAAAGTTTGACGTTGCAGAACGCATATATCGGGCAACACAAACAGCATGACAATCCCACCAAATAGTATTTTAAACCTCTTAAGATTTGTTAGGTACTATGTACCAAAACCTGTTAAAAATCACAATAATACCAACGTTTCTTAGACTATGACGTCTTGAACTAATTTGTCATGATAATACAAAATTCCATATTTACAAAAGTACAAACGACTTCCAAAAGGTGTATATTAAAAATTTGGCATTTTTTTCTTGTTTATTTTTTCTTTCCGATGTTAATAGTTTTATTTTTTACACTTCCTGCCCACACACTGCTACACTTGCACGAGGCGGACTTAATGTAACATGGCATTATCTACCAGTCAACCTTAAGATGGTTCAGTAAGGGACATGGCAGGTGCACATGTATTATGTAAAAAGAAGAGAAGCTATGAAAATATAACATTAATTTGATAATACTATTTAAAATACATGGACAAATTCATAAATAAATATTAATAGATTATATTTACGGAATAAAATAAATACCTGAGGAGTATAATGTGTATAATATCTGAGGTGACGAAATAATGAGGATATTTATGTTAGCTGTTTCCTGTAGAATTCTCGGACTCTAGATTTAAACGTGTCACGACTTGCTGACATCCTGATCTTGAGTGGGAGCGCATTCCATAGTAGAATAGATTGAACAGCAAATAAAGAATGAACAAGAGAAGAAGTGTGTGTGAACCTGTGTTTGCCAGGTGAGCCTGGAGTCAATTCATAAGCCAAGATCTTTACCTAATGGACTAATCGGTATGTCGGATCCTTTGTATACAATCGCCGGCAGTTTTAATGTGTCTAATCTGTTCATCATTCTGGGGCTACCTATGATTAAGGGCTGATACCTGGAGGGATTTACACTTACGTCGAAACGCTCAGACCAGTTTTTGATTTTCTTGTCTTTGATCATTCTTACTTGTCTAGATGATATTCAAAAATCTATTAGCGAATTTAAGACAGCTATGCTGTCGTTCGTGATATCAATGTAGACATCAAACCATTAAATGATAATCGTCTGTCGTCGTTGTGCCAGCTCACTAAAGCTACCTACGCATGAATCTAATTGTTTGGATCATAGTCTATGTCCAGCAGTGGACTAGTGCAGGCTGTTGATGATGATGAACCTTAAGACAAACCGTAAAGCTCACAACAACATCTCAACATTTGTAATCAATACACATATAACTGGTCATTTACCAGTTTTATAAATTTATTTACGCCAAAAAAATTTTTGCCCCAAAATTAAAACAATTCATTAACTATGACAATTCTTACATTATTGTAAATGATAAGAACCGTCCTTCTATCTTAGATATTGATGATGCCAACTATGCGACAGAGATCTTAATTCAACTTTTAAAATAAGCTTAAAAAACCAGCACTGTAAATGCGGAAAGTTCAAAATAGAAAGAACATTATAAAGGCCTGGAGGACTGGCTTACTTGTGCATAAAACATCGTGACGCTCTTCACAAAATGCCTCACCATCAAATGAAATAGGTACTTAAAATATCTTACTGCAGATACAGAAACTTTTGTAACGATCTGTTGACTAAAATTAAAGATAGGTATGAAAGCTCATCAATTTATAAATGTAAAAACCCTAAAGAAACATGGAGCACTATTCGTAAAATAACTAATACCTCACAAAACAACAACCCCGCTGTGGAGCTTTTAAATCTTGGCCCTGATGATTCAACCTCATGTATGAATATGATTAACAAGTACTTTATTGAAGTGGGCATGAGGCTTGCAAATAACATTAGCCAGATTTTGATATATCCAAGTAACTTGTGACATTAAAAGTTCTTCTCATTTAAATTCATGTGTATTGCTTGAAACGGACGTTGCTGAAGTCAAAGCGTTAATTTCTAATACCAAAAATCCTTCTGCAACAGGTTGAGATGTTTTACCTGTTGCATTTCCGAAACGCACTAAAAATATCATCAGTCCAATACTAACACATAAATTCAACCTCTGTTTTAACAAAGGCGTTTTTCCCGATTGCTTTAAACGCTCTATGCTACACCTGTTCACAAGGGTGGGAATAGAGACAATGTTGAGAACTATCGTTCAATTTCAGTGCTTACGGCTATGTGAAAATTACTTGAGAAGCTTATCAATAGACGTCTCATGAAGTACCTGGATCAAAGCAATCTTCTCTGGATCACAATTTGGCTTCCAGCCCAACAAATTCACAGAAGATGCAGTGGTACAGCTTACCTTGCAAGTAATTTCGACAACGGCCTTAAATTAATAGGCGTCTTCTTAGACCTGGCAAAGGGGTTAGACACAGTCTCTACTCTCATACTATTAAATAAGCTAGAGTCGATAGGAATACGCGGTTTACCACATAAACTTAAAAAAAATCTAACCATCATAATCTGACCATATCACGTCACTTGCAGCGTTCCGCAACGAAGTGTGCTTGGCCCAAGTCTCTTCTTGATATATGATAATGAATTATGAGTAATTACACCCCACTGCACTGATATTCCAGGGAGAGACTTGGACTCAGGCACGTCTTTACGCCAAAGAAGGACTACATCATACATTCCAATGGCTCAACAAAAATTTACTTACACTAATCATAAAAAATCTAAGTACATACCTTTTCAATCAATAAATTCACTCGAAAAAACGAATGGAATGGATAATCGATCGACGATTATCCATTCCATTACTATGCCATGCACAACTAGCCCACAATTAGACGATTTGGATTTTTGTTAAAAACAGTTTATTTTGCGCTAGTTCCATCAGTAATTGATTGTTGTATACCAGTTTGGGACGGGGCATGCACAACGAGGTTTTTGCTCGTGGAATGTGCACAAAGGTCATTGCTTAAGGTAATGCTAAGAAAATCCTTTCGATAGCCTACGTCTAATCTTTACAAAGAATGCAATGTTTTAACATTAAGAAACTTATTTGTTTTGCGTGCTACATTTCGTAAACACAAAGAGCTTAAATATGACCCAAAGACTACATTCTTCTCGTAGAAGAAACAGGGTATGCAATTCAATTAAACACCACAACGCCTTCTTTAGACGACAATCATGCTTTCTTCCACTTTTAATCTATAAAAAAATCAATGTCTTGCTAAGCATTTTTCCTAAAAACTCTCATGAAGCCAACGGTATCATCAAAAAATATATAGCGGAAATAAGCTTTCGCGACACATAATCCCTTCCAACTATCGTAAAGTAGTATAATCTCACACACACACACACATACACCAATACAGTCGCATACGCACACAAACACATGCACACGTTCATCTATTTATTTTCTAACCATTGTTTTTTACTTCGGTACTTACAATTGTTTTTTTTTTCTATTCAACTGCGACAGGCCAATAACTATTTACAGAAGGAAGGGGCAGTTAGTTCTAAATATAAAAATGTTTTTTTTTTTGTTCTTCGGTTGTAACAACTCGTTGTAAAGCTTTATACACCACCAACACAATAACTGACCATGAAGAACTCTGACTTTGTAGAATTGTGGACTGTATCTGCCATAGCGAACAACTTATGTCTGTTTTTGTCTCTGTCAATGTGTATATGTTTGTCTTGTCTGTCATATTTATTAACGTAAATTAAAATTAGTTTCTGCCCAAGATTGATTACGAAAGCACTTATTTTATTGTTATTAATAATAAATTTCGTTAACTTTCGAACTGAGATGTTCTTATTAAACTACATTTGTTTGTAAGCAGAAATTACTTTATAGATATACATACTGGAATTTCTATATTTTCCTAGGCTAGGTACCTATTCAATTGTCGGTGCTGTTCTGCGTAACCTCGAAGCTTGGGTAGGTAGGAAAGGAGGTCGCGTCACCTACCGTCTGGCGCAGGTACTCACTGGGCTTGGTTGCTTCGTTGAGTACCTGAATCGTATCGATCCCGTCACACTCAGGGCGACATGAGGCGCTGGTAATCGCGCTTCCGACACCCGGTTCGTCGGCGGCGAATTGGGTCCGAGTGGAGATTATCTTCCCGGGCCCTCTCCGCCGCCTCCTTCTTTGAGATAACGTCTTCGCAGAAGGATACGACCACGTTAAAACAACTATCACTACCGGCCATGGAGCGTATGACGGCCGGTAGTGACAGATCTCCCCCGATGACTGCAGTGAGGACCCGATGCTGCGACGCCCAAGCCGGGCAAATTGCCAGCGTGTGCTGAGCCAAGTCCTCACTGCAATCGCAGTGTTTCAGGCAGGACTCAGTTACCTCCTAGCGACCGAGTGCTAGTACTTCCCGAAGCAGTACCGGGGAAAATCAGCTCGAAGGGCCCAGTCGTACCCTATGTTGTTAACTGCACGGATGGCGTAGTGGTTTAAGCGGTCACCACGCCGCTTCCTACTACGCCGAGTGTTGTGGGTTCAAACCCCACATGGGACGACACTTTGTGTGATCCACAAATTGTTGTTCTGAATCTGGGTGTTATTTGTGTCCGTTTCATGTAAAGTCCCCCTCGATACAGGATATATTCCTAATGCGGGATTGTATTTAAAACAAAAAAAACCATAGGAGGGGTCCAAGAACAGACCCCTGCGGAACATCGCACGACATGGGCGGACACGTCAGATTACCATCTCGGTCCTCGTACACGACGGTACGCTCCTCTAAATAATCTGCCACCACTATCGCCAGAGGCACCCCATGATAGTGGAGGGCTTCCCTGATGCATCTGAATGGCAGACTATTGAATGCGTTGGCGATGTCCAATGACACCGCCAACAGCACGCCGCCACAGCTCACCGCCTCTTCGGTCACGGCCCCCAGGCGCAGCACAGCGCCGACCGTCGCAGGCCCCGCTCTAAAACCGAATTGGGCGTCCGACAGATCGGGCTCACCCCGCATGGGTGCCGCAAGATGCGGGCAGAGATAATCCACTTAAGCAATTTACCCGCCTCGTCCAGCAAATACTAAAGTGAATCCTAAGACAACCGATAAGCAGGCGACTTTACAACGATGCTCAAGAGTATGTAGTTCCCTATACGTGTGGGCATGTGTATCGATGGTTATAAGGCTTTTCGGCAGACAGAACCCAAAGCAGTTATTTTCTGCTTCTGTATAGTAACTGTTTAGACTTCCACATACAACAAAACAAAGAAACATATTACAGCGCCATCTAATGAAGATACACCGAACTTCCCAACATCAACCGTTGGACCGCGGCCCGTCAGGCATGATCATCTCCCCTGGTCGAAGGATCCTCCCTTTGTGTTGGAAGGACATGAGACCCGTTCCTCTACAACGAATATTGAGCATTTAATTCCTAAAATTGGGTAAGCATTTGTCTGATTAAAGGGCAGTGACCTTACCTCATTTTGCGAGTTTGCATTACCGACGAAATTCCACTCCTATCATTAAGAGTTCCCTTAATTGGAGAGATGAACAGGAATGCTTGAGAAAAAAAATCGTTAAAACACATCAAAATAAAATAACATTTAATAGTAAGATCTGTATTCTTTTTTAATTCATTTATTTAATTGAAGACGGCACGGAAGCCCTAAAAGTTATTTCGGGATTTATTCGAGCGTGGCAGATTAACATAAGAAGGAATACCTTACACCCAGTTGAGTACCTCCACCATACATGAGCCCTACATATAGGGGGGAGCGTCTAGGGCAGCCCATCAGATTAGTTAATAAAAAATCGATTAAGGTAAGTTGAGCCAATTACATACAAATTAGGGTATACTTAAAAAAATCTGACGATTTGGGCATAACATAAAGCAGTAGGAGGGTCACAAAAAAAACAACACATGACCTTGACATATCTTTTTTAGTTTCAAGCAAACAATGCAAGAAATTTTCTTTAAATGTCTACATAATTTTTCATGTCTTTATTTGTCACACATTATAAAAGAAATGGCGATTTTTCGAATTGGCAGTTAGCATTTTAGATAATTCGCTACGAGCTTGTGTCACTTTAAAATCGTCAGACTTTTCAATGGGAGCATTTTTGGCATCCAAATGACATATCCCCAAAATATCTGAAGCGCCGGTGATTTTTTTTTCGATTTCCTCCCCTTACAAATTTGAAAACCTGTAGAAACGTTTCCAACAGCTGAAAGTGGAAACATTATATAACTTTTATTTATTCTATTACCTAATCTTTTGAAATGCAATAGGTCCCTATGACACTCGAGTAAGTCCCCATTTAATATCATGGGCTCCCCTACTGCAACTCATGGCCTGAGCAAAGAATAAAGAAGAACCAATTTGAAAGGCCACACTTTCCGGTCATTATACGTAATAAATCATGTACAATTATAATAAAATCACCACATGACGGGCCTGTTGGTCTGGTGGTTCACTAACCACCAGACCAACAGGCCCGTCATGTGGTGATTTTATTGTGGTGGTGTGTGGTGATTCAGGGTCACTACCCTGACTGCTAAACCGGAGGTCGTGGGTTCGATTCCCTCCCAGGACAAATATTGTGTGATGAGCACGGTCATTTCTTCTGTGTCTGGGTGTAATTTATCTATAATATGTATGTATTTAGAAATATATAAGTATGTTTATCAGCGGTCTGGTTACCATAGTACAGGCTCTGCCTAGTTTGGGATCAGACGGCCGTGTGTGTGTGTGAGATATATTATTATTATTATTACATGTAATAAAAAGGCTTATTGCTACAAGATATCTTTTTATTTGCTAGTTTTAAGAACGTGAAATAGAATACCAACAAATTAATGCGTTTACCACGAAGGCATTCATTCTTTTTAAGAATATTTAGATGACCATGAGGGTTTATTAATGCTTTATGAAAAAAAAACTGACACTGTTTTGCCTTGAAAAGGCTTGCTTTCATTTGTCTCAAATAGTTGTTTTTTGTTTTGCCTCTGGCATAGCCCACGTGAGTATTCATATTGTCCATCAGTTCTTATCTCCTCTGGCAGACTACTTTTTCTAAGTTGAAAAGTATTTCCTGTTATTAACATGCATGTACAATTATTCATGATGATCTGATTGATGATCCATTTATCGGACGTATGTATTTAGAAATATATTACTATGTTTTTCAGTAGTCTGGTTACCATAGCACAGGCTATGCTTAGTGAGGGATCAGACAGTTGTTATTGTTATTTCAAATATTAATTTCAATTATGCATTTACTACGACATTACCACAGTCATCAACCCAATTCTCTTTGATTTCCAAATGAACTCAAAACGTAATCAAAACGATTGTAACAATTGTATGTCTATCAAACAAACTAATCGCTATAGAAGGTTTACCAAAAACATAGTGTGCGAAATATAAACTTTCCATACGATACTAAATCATTTACATGTAATAAAGTTGGATGGACTAAATCTGAACTAGAGAACGTAATAAGCCTAGAGGAAGTAATAAGCCTAGAGATACTAAAACCTGGCAAATCTCTCTAAGTAAAAGTCTCCTACAAATCCATTAGTCTGGTTTGGTTGGAAAGGTATTCCAGCGGATACTCCTCAAGCGAATTAAAAAACGTCAAGACCTAAATATCAATTCAAATTTCGTGAAAGGCATAAAATAATCGAAAATAAAATAAAATACTTATTCTTTTGTTACACAAATTGATAAAATAATACCTCGGCAAGGCAAAGCAAAGTAAAGAAGATCTATAAGCAGATCACTATGAAGAACAGCGACCATAAAAAATCACCAGAAGTAAGAAACAGACTTCGTTTAAAATCTAAATTTACATAGCATTTATAATTGCAATTTACCAACACTAATTAATGGTCTAACCATTCTAAGACTTAAATTGTGTCTAATCATGACCACCAACCGTTGCCCCTGAACAAAACAATGAATGTTATTTTCTGTAAACAAAATTAGAGCACTACGTAACCGCCTGCAGTAATTATGTGAGCAATTGCGTTTGCTCACCCAACTTATTGTCAGGTAACGGCAGGCTGAGCATATTCTCACACACTATTCAAGTTCTGAGATTCAAGAGCTTTTTGCACAATTACATGCATCTTTTTCACTCTTTTATTTTGTCATTCTTTTTTTACTCTCTTTGGCCTCATCGATATATCCCTGGACGCGTCTTAATAGTGTCTCAATTCGCAAAGCTGATGGCATTTTGTTAGGTGTGTGTTAAAGAGACGAAAAAGATTGTGGCGTCACATTGCAGCATTGTAATGCCTGTGCTAAGTTAACATATTTGTGATGTTTAATACAGAAATCCTACTTTACAACTCACAAATTGAAGCTAAAAACTTATCGATAACACTAATATATTTTTTCCTATATGGTAAGGACGGAGATGGTAATAGTCAAAATGTATTTTTTTACGTCATAGTCTATTTATCTACATTACAATGCTCCTAAAATTTGAACACTACCATTCGCATCTTGTACAGTCTGTGTACCGCTAGGAGGCAAACTGGTAGACAATGCCGAAGGCATGGCAGTAGGTGCAGCTTGTAAAAAAAGTAAATAATACAACAGAATAGACCATTATTACCACTGCGATGTATAATAATTATTTCGTAAGAAAACCTTAACCTCGTCACATAGATACTACTAAGTTTTTATTTGTTTTTGCAGTATCTTAATGTAATAATTTTAGTTTTGCCAGATAGCTCATGCCGGACAGATTGCGAACGCGATATGACATGAGAACGTTATTTTTAGAGTTAGATCAGTCTTTGAAATCTTTAAGCAAACTAAATTTAAAATTATTGTAGTAAATAAAATGTAGATATCCTCCATTTTTAATGTGAATGTTAGTATTCATTTTCATTTTTAATTTACTGTATTTTTATTACAATATAAATATACGAAATATAAAAATTATTTTGAATCAAAAATATTATCTTATATAAGTCGCGCAGGTGGACTTCTTTTTTCTTTTCCGTGCGGTAATCCCCTCGGATACCACCTATCGGTGGCATGTCGGACTCGAACCGACTAAAACCGCACGCCGTCTCGGGTACTAATAGCCAGGGAACCAGGTATACCCTAGAAAAGAAGTCCCTGGTGCAACGACATACCTCGGGCCATCTACATCTACAACTGAGCTTATGGAGGACGGAGGTCGGCGGGCAGGGAGAGTTCTAAACCTCTCCCGGTCCCGCTCCGCCGTCTCCTTCGCGAGCAGCGCAGGTGGACTGCGATAGATACTGATGATGATGATGATGAAGAATCTAATTTTAAGAAGGGCAAAATTAGGATTTTTAACCGACTTCAAAAACACAAAAGTTTTTTTTGTATCCGCAACTGTAAATCGATTTTCACAATTCTTTTTGTAATCGAAAGGGTATATTATCGAGTTGGTCCCATTACCCTCAAATCAGAATTTGATGATGAGATCCTAGAGAAATCGAGGCAGCTTATAAAACAAATGACTTCAAACAGACTAGAAGAAACTATTGCTATTATAATGTTAATGTTATATTGAGGGTAGCACTTATTTTAGTTTTTTTTTACTTAGATTTGTAATTATTTTTTAATTTTTAGTGCTCTTTGTCAGTATTGTTTGAAGTCAGTTCAACTTTTTTTTTAAAAGGATTTATCTTTTAAAACAATCACATCGACATCGGAAAAATGATCATAAAATAATTGCATAAAGTATCTACTGAGGTACTTACAAGTTTGTGGGAAATTCTTGTTGCGCATGTTAGGTTTACATTTTTTTTTTTATTAATACATGCTGATTTCAGAGTTGTCTGGTAATACAGGACGTGACATCGTTTATCAAAATATATTTAATCCAATCTTCATTGCCTTAAAAACAAAAAAAAGTACCTAACTTCCAAAGGAACAAAAGCCCATTGGCAGGCAGGTTAAAGTCAAATTTTTAAAGTTTCACGTTCGTTGAATTTGTCTGACGTTTCGATAAACACTGTAATGGCCCGGTCACAGGCTGACTAACAGTCCGCTGTGAGCCTTGTATCCCGTAATAACTATAACATTATATTTGTCGAATGAAGTTGAACAGTCTTATCACTCACTAGGTTCATACTAATTTTGTCTGATGGTTGATCCACTACTACTAAGAATCAATTTTGCTTTTCCTTGGTGTGAAGTTGTGCTTATCGAAGCGTTGGTAAAAGCAGCCGTCCATGCGAAACTGACTCATCCAAGATAGAAACTATGTGTGTCAATAATCTTTGTAATTAGTGTGTATGTGTGTCAATAAAACAAAGATGAATATATGGACTATTTACTAAGCAATTGTTAAAATATTATGTTTCTTTATCACCTACTACTTCTTACAGAAAGAATTAAAGTTGATTTAATAACTGGTATTATACCTATGACAAGTCGGTGCAATAGGGGTCCTGCACTACTTCATTTTTTCTTCTATGAATGTACGCTTACATCTAAATACTTTTGTCGAAGTTAAATTTATATAAATCGTAAAAATTTATATAGAAATAAAAACATAATGTTTAACAGTAAAGATATTGAAATAAAACCACTACTATCTCTTATTTACTCGTGCTGGCTAGATATTATATTACATTATGAGTATTTGGCACAATTAATTACACCGATGAAATAATTTTAATTAAACTAAATAAGCAGTCAATATAAAAGAATTAATAAGTAAACATGCATTTTTAAAGAAATTTGATAAAACCTGAAACGAAGTCTACAAATGCAATAATTAGGACTTACAAAATATATAAGTATTAATGCTAATTATCAATAATAATTGAATTGTCTTTGATCACTGTGTGACAGTATGGTTACACCTTTGGAGCCTATTGAGATGTTATTCTGCAATTTTTTTACGTAAATAGTATGTACGTTACATAACTAAGATTCACTTCACCCATTATCAGCAATTCCTGCAGTACTTTCCATATCTACTGTATTCATCTTCATCAAAGTCATGATGTCTGTAGGGTGCTGAGTGCTGATGTCTATAAGGCCTAGTATATTCATTTTCAGGTGTATAGCTCGAAGGACGCCGACGTTCCGGCCACCTGCTTCTGTTTCTTTCTTGGTAGGTTGCCCGGCTCGGGCGTTGAGTTCTGTTGCGTGAACTGTAAACGTAAACGTTTTAAACAAAAATGTGAACTCCGTACCCTTCACGTGCAGTACCATCACGCCTTACCAACTAGTATTATGCATAATTTTACTTTTAATGCTTCATTCGCCTGATTATTTGTCCGGAGTTCGAAGTAATTAAAATGCATGACACTGACGTACATGTTAGTTATAAATTCATTGTAGTGTGTGATATAAAACGCTTTGGGAAGTATGGCAAATTTTCTAAGATGTTATCTCAATTTGGAAATTACACTTAGGAAAATGACATAATTTTTTTTGTGAAAATATATATGTATATATTTCCGTATATCTTCCTGTTACAAGAAATCCGTCAAAAGAAATGTTTTTATGCTATAACAAACTGTATCGGTATCAGTCTTTCGGAAGTAGTAGGTACCTATTCTTAATAAATAATTTTATATAAACCTTAAGACTAATTTCAGAAACTTTGTGTTTAAAAGAAAATTGAATTAAAAAAAAATACCTATAAACTTGACGCTTCTTGTATTGTGAAGGTTTCCTGAATTTAGGTCGACGCTGGTAGTCATCTCCTTCTATGTATTCTGAATCTTCGTGCACTGGCATCGTATGATGGAATACAGGTCTTACGTACGGGATATGAACTGGGTATGGCTTCTCCACAGGTACTGCAACCTGAGTTACATGTCATATGAACAATTACACATTGCCACTAACTTTACGAGAATGATACTAGATATATCACCCAATCTCTAAATGATCAGTTCGTCCAAATTTGGGGTTACCCTTTACTTTTACTACTGGGGATGTGATCTATCAGGTGATGCTTTCTATTCAGCCAATAGTTCTTAATCTAATGATCGGGTGCAAAGTGTTTGATTCTAATTTACGATTCTCTTTACATGTTGTGCACTACTATTATTAAGACAATAACAATAGTGTCTGCATCTGCATGCAACAGGCTGAGCATTATTTAAAAAAAATCTATGAAATACAACTAAGATTTCCCACATGCAAAATTGCCACATAATCCGTCGCTTTAAATAATAAAAAAGAATCTATAACAAGCATCAAGCTGCAAGCATTGCTGGTATCTGATGTTAATGCTACTTGTTGACCGCGAAATGATTGCGGTACCGTTGCGTAAATGTGAGTACCGCCACGTTCTCTCATTGACACGTATTGGCGCGTGATCAATCTTTGCCCGTACCATATGGATAAATTGAGTCTTAAGGATGCTGTATCAGTTTGTACTGACAGGCACTAACCTCTTTTTCAATCGGCACAGGGACAAGCTTCTCTACGGGGTAAGGAACATTTTTGTAGACAGGGTAGGGCACTGGCTTCTCAATGGGCACGGTGAGTTCCTGCAGCACGGGAACCGCAACGGGCCTAGAGATAGGCACTCGCACCGGGAACGGATGCGGCACAGGCACTATTACAGGGTGTGGTACCTCTATCTGCAAGTGCATTTCCCTCTACAGATCCCAAACGATTTACTATATAATAAAACAAAGGTCACAGTATTCTACGCTCTTTACATAACTCCTATGAATTACTGAGTTAAACGTACAAGGCATCAATCAAGTACCAGTGTCAATGAAGACTTAGTTCAATATAAATATACACACATTCGGTACAAAATATTTATTCCGAATGTGTGTACTCGACACACAATAATTAAATTTGCTTCCATGTAATTATGAAATGCTACAACCAAAGGAGTAGATAGGATACACTTTTAAATAAAGCAAAATCTACATGCAATTCTTTTTCTTTATATGCATAAAAGATGAAGGGTGATAGAAGAAACTTTCGCTTTGTAAATACACACACACAATGCATGCCATGCAATGAATACATACTAAGATTTCAATGTTATGGTGAACGACCGCATGTCGCGGTTTTGTAATCTCTTAGGGTTAGAAATTGCATTGCGTTACTCCATCAATAATTAAACGTTTTGTAAAAGTAAAGGTCTAACTTTGGCAATTTTATAAAAAAAAGTTTCATAAACTAAACATTAAATAGGAATGATTACACTACACACATACATAAACAACGATAGAAGTGGTGATAACCACCGGCTATTCTTAAAATCATAACTTCATATTTGGGGTATGCCAGCTCCTTATTTGATTGCCATATTTGCATTCCTTAGGTTCTTCATTGATCAACGTTAGAAAACAATTTAAACTGGTACGTTAAATTAGTACTACCATAAGCATTACACCATGTAATCCAGAAAAGTAAACATGTTACAATTTGGTAATTAAATACGACTTCTTGAACAAAAATCTATCATCATTATTTTCTTTGAATAGATAAATTTATCTGTTATTGCTTTCACTACTTACAAGTACCTAATGTAGCGTGACTTCAGGGAGGTCGACGAGCCCATTATTGTCGCCTAACTGCTTGTTAAATCGCCTATCATAATACATTTTCATTTCTATTGCGTAATTCAATTTTCTGAGGTAATTCTTTTCATTCTTTTGGTTCCTTTCCTATGGAATTGCACTGTGCGTTTTAAATATATTTTTGATTTAACTTCAGTCGAAGGAATTCTTCAACTGTCCATAGTATAGATGCGGCACTATTTACACGCGTTGAATTTTGATATAATCGAGCCGAGGATTGACTCCAGGCGAGAGAGCTCCTCCACAGTAAACAATACAGAAACTTTATATATGCATTGTACGCTTTTTCTATCTTTTTCTAATTCTTTGGACAAACCATATTCCGTATTATATAACTATGTTGTATATATTTATTACAAGCATTTAGTTTAGCTGGCAGGGTTAACAATGTGACCTACGTTGCTAGTATTACTACTCTGTCCATCTGTTTATAACTATGTTGTATCTATGTAACTATGATTTATATTGATTTTAGTATATTGAAAAGTTATGTAGTATTTTTTGAAATAAATGATTAAAACTACCACTTTTTCTTAGGTAAAACATATGCAAAAGTTCACGAATTGTTAACGTTTTTTCAATCAGTATTACACTTTAGTAATTGAAACAAAATTTAAAACTAAGTTTAATGTACCTATAAAGGCAAAATGATAAAAACTAGACTTAACTGAGTGAGTTTTTTTATTTTAAAAATATAAAATTTCTTAAACGTCAATAAGTTTAAACTCACCGACGTTTTTGGGGAATCTATTAACTTTTTTCACTTAAATGACCTTTTAACTTTTAATCGATATTCAATACATGAAATCGATTTGTAAATTTAATAATTTAGTTGTTAACGTGTCAGGCCACTACCAATTGATAAGTAATTGCGTTGTCAGAAAAGAAGTGTAATGTATAGACAGAGCTTAGTCTACTTGACAAACCCATTGAATTATTGTGTTACTTGATTTCTCCCGGGCGCACGCGCATCATTTTACTTGCTGAGGCCGAGAAAATTAGTGCGCGACGTGAGTTGGTTGCTTTTCCGATCCGCATTCCATCATATCATGTTTTTTAACGTATAACTCTTAATATCAAGACTGCTTAACTACATTTAAATTAATCAAGTTAAGTAATTAAAGATCGCACTTACCGAGTGTGGTTTCGGTATAGGCACGTGGACAGGGTTTTCAGGCCAATGCTCAGCATTGTCTCGTGCGTCTTTATATTTGGACTTAATGTAGGACTCTTTCCACTTCTCAACCAATTGTTTGAAATTATCATATTCATTGTGGTCAATTATTTTACTGCTGTGTTTGAATGTTGGTATGTATGAAGGACGCGATGTGTCGCGTGTCCTGAGACCCAATAAATCCTCTTCTGATTTAAATTTATTGTCAAGAAAGTCTTTTGTCCAATCCGGCGTAGGTTTATTTAGTTTTTGTGATCTAAAGTGACTTGGTGACCAGTCGGCTGGTTTGTTTTGTGAAAATTTCGTAAATAGTTTATGCGGCCTTTTAGTAATAGTAACCACATCGTCGTCATTTACGTTGTAGAAAGATTTCTTAGGGTGATCACCAAAAGAAGAAGAATAATCAGTAGATTTGAAAATACCTCCCCAATGCGAACTCGTAGTCGTTGGGTCAGCATTTAAAGGATTTTTTTTAAATTGATTAGAATCATCACTTGCCTTATATTTTTCTTTGAACAAAGAATCACCTTCGTTATTGAATTCCGGCACATTTTTAAAAGTGTTATAATCCTTTTCAGGAAATTGATGACTATTAAAATCTACAACGTTACTGCTCGCTGGTAATAATTCATCACGGTTAACTGGTTTTTTAGGTTCACTGACTCCATACTTAAAATTCATATTACCATAATCCGTCGAATATGTATAACTTTTCACATTCGATGATGATGATGATGATGAGGAATCCTTCCAATCTTTGTAAGCATTGCTATAGTTACCAAAACCCCATGGTTTATATTTTTTTTGGTCCGTATGTTTAATACTGGGTTCACTATATTTGTGATGTGCAGCGATGTGCTTATTTGTAAAATCAGGTTCAAAAATTGTATTTGGCTTCAATAATTTTTTGTGATTTGTTTCTTTAGTGTTTTTTAAATTATAATGTTCTATGTTTGTCGGTATGTTATCAACAAGTTTAATATTACTGAACACATTTCCATTATCATTACTGATTTGTGAATGTGCCATGGCTATTTGCGTGTTAGAATGTTTCATACTATCCGATATAAGTTTACTAGTATCTAATTCTGTAGGATATTGGTTACTAAGTTTGGTAAAGTCAACAACCCTTGGAAAATTTAAACCACCAATATCCGTTTCTTGTTGTGGTGTATAATTTGGCTGATAACTGTCAGTATTATGATAGTTAAAATTTGACTCACTCAATGCCGGTTTTTCTTGTATATGCTCTGCCTCGGGTAAACTAAAATATTTGTCATCAGAAGGGTTCGAGTACCCACTGTTGGAGATTTCAGATTCAGGGTTGTTAATGTTATAATTAGGCCTATGTTTGTTACCTATTTTAGTACCGTAAACAGGTGTATCAGAATGTTCAGATTCTGTTTTCTCATTCTGATCACCATTAGTGGCAATATTAGGGCCTGTCAAAAAATTCATTGAATTAGATGTATATTGTGACATACCGGATTGGCTGTTGCTATCGTCCCCTACACCATAATTTTGTCCATCAAAAGTCTGTGAACCATAATTTCCACTGTATCCTGTAGTATCTCCGGCGCTCGGAAATGCTGGAGCGTATAATCTTGTCGAAGACTCCTGATTATTGCTGCTGAGGATGCTAGAATACTCTGGTGAGGTTGGTATAAAGCCATTATGTGAACTCACATCATTAAATCCAAAACTTGAATATGCGACTACATTTGGGCGTATAGTCGTAAAGTCATCTTGATCTTTAGGCCGTTTATTTTTCTTTATTTTCTTTCCGTAAACATTGTTACATATTACAAATAATGTTACTAAAGCAAAACAAATTGTTTTGTTATTCATATTGAAATAGTCACTTCAAGTAACCACGCACTATATTTACATGATACTAGAACGTAAGGTGCGAAAGGAGTACGATTGTCGACTGATCGAGGGAGCGTTACTAAACAATAATGAAACTACTGCGCTTTGAGGAGGTGTCTAAACGCGGCGTCCGCTGGTGGACGGTTCTCCCGTATCCTAAGAAAACGAAAGCGTTTCATGCTTGACGAACTCGACAAATTTCCCCAAGTAATTATTCGTTAATGTCGCATACAATGAATTTAATAACGCCTGACAATATTATTGCAATGCTCGTAATTGGTTCCTCGTACCGTAATGTGGAAATTCACTTTCCGATAAAGAAGGTAATTTTTTTTTTAACATAATGCCTATTAAAGATAATTACTTTTTTCTGTGTTCATTATTTGTGATATTAGATACTTACTTGTAAGTAACTCGTAAGTATATTTTCTTCGTGAATTTCTTTATGTAGAAGTGTTATTTTATTTTTCGACCCGAATTCAACACAGCAAAGAAAGGTTTTAAAAATTAATAATTAGATTCACAAAGGCTTTTACAAATCCACCAATTGTAGGTTGCTCATAACATTTCCCGATTCGCATTTCGATCAGTAATTCAGTACTTAATTGACTCTAAATGAGGAAAAATTTAAAAATATATTATTGAGATAACTTAGGCAAGAAAAGGCCTGAAAATAGTATTTTTAATAAAATAAACAAATTATATTTAAAAAACTGTATTTCTTTTAAACTTCAATGTTTATTTTGTTTATTACTATTTCTAGTAGCCGCCTGGTTATTACGTCATACGGCTGTATTAACTAAAAAGAGTCAGTGTCAACTGTCACCTGATCGAGATTGTTTAAAAATCCAACTGACGTCATGAACAAAGAGCAATATGGCGTCGTCCGCATCCAGGTTTTCGTCAAATCATACACGAAATTTGAATTTCAATCAAAATTGTATCACAACAATATACTTAATCCACTTGAGACACTTAAAATGAGCGTAAGACCCTATTCTCACTTCGTACAAATAATGTTGGTACACTTTCTCAATTCTAAGGAAATAAGCGTTTATCTTCTTATCTAGGATTATCCAAGAGAAGCTGATTCCCTTGACTTTTACACTACGCTCTAGAATCGCATGTCTGTGAAAAAATAGATGCAGATAAACATTCTGCATTTCTCCATTCCTTGGCGTCTACAACATAAAAGGCTATCAGAGCCTTTACTTCCACTTTTTGGCGTTTCGACGTCTATCTTCGTCTAGTATCAGTCGATTATCGAATGATGAGAGTTCAATTAGTTCAAAGATAACTTTGCAACACTTATTTGAGTAAATCTTTAAAAACCAAGAAAAGCAGGCGACTCTACGACAATACTCAACCCCTTTATCTTTGGACGCACTAGCCGGGAGTATATAGTGTTTCCACTAAAAACCACCCCGATGGCCGGCCCTACTATGAGGAACACCCTGACCATGTGATTTCAGGTCCTCTCCCATCACCACGCCTCATCAGGCCTTATCCCGATTATCCCGATAGATTCTATCTAGCTGCTTGAATAGATCTCCGAGCTACGTCCTCCGGTAGATAAACCGACGATCTGAAGAAAACGGCTGTGAGCACTGCTTAAGGAAGCGGTCTATGAGAAAGCAGCGCCATGCGCCTAGTGACGCCAAAAAGTCAAGTACGAAAAACGAATTTCCGCGAAACATGTTTTCATTCATCCAAATTTTAGACTTTTGAGAGGTGCAAGGACCTCAGCCCGCGTTTTATTAGTAATTAATATACTTAGATAGGTAACAAAATGCAATTATTAAGAGCCTAATTTTTGTTAACGCCAAATCCTACCACTATTAGTAGTTAAAAAAAAACAATAACTTGATTAGAGTTAATCAATTCAATTAACAGCTTATAAATATTTACTTATTTAAAAATAAAAGTTGATTTATGCAAATTTAAGGTAAGCTCTTCGAACAAAGGCGTTGAAAAACAATTTGACTTTATCCTGATCACAGCATACATACAGCCGGTGATGATTGACCTTCCGCGTTGACTTATTCTGCCCTAATTTTAATTGTGTTTTTGCGGTTGGAGTTGAATTATTGTTTTGGGAGTTCATAACTCTTGAGTTGCAGTTGTCTGAGCGGCGATAGTCAATATCAGGTAAATTTATCTTTTACTGAAGAATCGCCGCACATAAAAAAGCACACAGCAACTTAATGCCTAACGATCATAAATCTGACATTTTATCATGTATATGATTTTGCTAGTTTACGTTAGTTAGAAAAACGATATTTATTTGTTTAAGAGAATACTTAAGCTTAAATCACAAATTTTATGCCATTCTCTAAAAAAAAATGTTTTGTAAGACAAAGTTTTGAAATTCTCGGATTTTCTCAATTATAATATGCATGTATTATACATATAAAGCTTGCTCTTGAATCACTCTCTCTATTGGTGAAAATCGCATTAAAATTCGTTGCTTAGTTTAAAAGATCTAAGCGTACAACACAAGAAAGAGACTTTGTTTTATACTGTGTAAAGACTAGCAGACCAACTTCGTCAGCGTCTCTTAAAAATAATAAATTTGCCCCGTTTTTGCAACACTTTGCAATATTTCTGTGCTCCTATAGGTCGAAGACTAAAAAAACATTTTGAAGTGGACCAAATTGTAAATCTAAACCATTCTCGAATCACTTGAACACATAAGAAAATTATCAAATTCGGTCCAGCCGTTTAGGAGGAGTTCAGTCAGATACACACGCACAAAAGAATTATATACCTATTTATTATAAAGATATTAAACGACAGAACAGGTATACCTACTGTGGTTAAGTGTATACATGTAACGTTATGTAAAAGATACTAAAAAGTACGTTATTGAAGTAAAATTTCTTTACACGCGCTTGACTTGGGGAGTGACGTGGTGAATGCGTGACGAGAGCGTTACGAAAAGTGTGATTGGGCGAGGCGGACGGAAGTTGAGAGGTAAGTTAGTGAAGATAGAAAGAGAGAGAGTTACGTTTCCTATATTACTGTAGGGTCAAGAGACGCCTCTCTTTTCGAGCACACGTTTTCTTCTCTCTTTCTCTCATAGTCAAGAAGTTTTACTTCAGTCGTTAAGCACACTCGTTTTTTAACAGTTACAACTTGTACAGTTAACAAAACTGTAGCATTACAAAGGCTACTCCAAACTTCTGGCAATAACACGTCACACACTCAAAATACTCGAAATAAAAGCAATGACAAATCACTAAGTTATTTAGCTATTACAATCACTATTTTTAAATATATTATTTTATTAAAAGGTAGTTTTGCTTTTATTATTATACGAAAAACTACACACAATATATGAATGGCAATAAGACACAAGTGGTCGGCTTGCTATTTTTAATAAATATCGTAAAGCAAACGTTCGCACGATCATTAAGAAATATTATAGTGATGTACTTTTACTTAGACTGTGGGTTAGAATTTAAAATTGGATACTGTATAATACAGTACCCAATTTTAAGTTCTCAGTACCCATATAAAACTCTCATTATAACAATTCTGGGATTTTATTGCCAATGAGCAGACCATAGTCCTGTGTTTTTGACTGTGAGAAATGTGGTCGACAGGCCAAAGAAACCCGCGGTAAGAAAAACGAATAGGGCGAGGGAATTAAGAGATACCACACGTCTTGGATAGAGAAAATGGTGTTCGACTGCTGCAAGCTCAAAAAGGCCGGGGTTGTGTACATGTTCTATGTTTGAAGACATGACAAGGACAGGGTCATTAACCAGAGTATCTACAAGATAAACTCATTAAAAAAAAACATTTAGGAAAGCCAATTTCTGTCAAGTCTAAACGCAATACTTCATCCACAACAAATTGTAAGATCTAATTGATACTTAATGCATTAACACTTTATCGTAGCAATGGACAGAACAACTGTTTGTGTGATTCACAAATTGTTGTTCTGAGTCTAGGTGTTCTTTGTGTCCGTTTCATGTATATATATATATATATATATGTTTGTAAAGTCCCGCGCGGAAGTTGCCTTTTTTAAAGGAGAAAAGGGAATAAAAATAAACAAGTATCCTAAAACAATTTTATTTGACTATACAAATCATTAAATTTTCAGACAGTTTCATGTCAAACTAATTAATTCATAGAGTACTTATACACTACTTTCTCCATACAATGTCGCACTTAAGATGGCCACTATGATTCCGAAGCCTAGAACTACAGCCTTCATAGCGTGAAGGTGCCACTTTGTACTAACGATAACTTAACAATAAGTCTAAGACAACAGAAAAGCAAAAATTAAACATAGACAAGGAAATTATAGGAGTGAAAGGATTAACAAGTGGAATGATACATAACTTTTTTTTTGTAATTTTGGTATCTTTTTGAGAATCGTCATCCTACAATAATCTAACTTATAACGATAAATAATTAATACTCTGAAAGTAAATAACAAGATTATAAATAGGCACTCGAGAACATAACACGCATTCAAATATCGACATCTATCTAATGGGCGAATATAACAAAAATGTTTGTATTATATCATTAAACTTTTGGACGCCTTTGTCATTTTTATCTTATTTATTTATATTTTTTAAACATACATATAATTATGCAACAACACACAAATACCTTTAATTAAATCCAGTACATTTTTCTTCTGAAATCCAAATGTGCCACTGTATTATAACTTGACATAATTATCCCACATACGGCCCTCTGATCGCATATAAAGCTGAACCCGTATTATGGTAATCAGACTGTTGATGAACCTTTTTGATACTTATATTTTTCTCAATCAATTAATACATATTGTAGATAAAAGACGACCCCGGAGCGGACAAAAAGTTCTGGATTGGTGGCCACATTCTGAAAAACAGAGCATGGGAAGGGTACAAGGTGGCCCGACGACCTGGTAAAGATCTAGGGAGGCTGTTGGATGTGGGGAGCTCAGGAACAGTTGTGGTGGAGAGCCATGAGGGAGGCTTATGTCCAGCAGTGGACGTCGGTGGGCAAAATAATGATAATTATAGATAAAGTACACTCAATCACAGAACAAATGATCGTGCTCATCACATAATATTTGTCGGAATCAAACCCATGTAAACCCACCCTTAGCAGTCAGAACCGCGAACACCTATACCTACAGGCCAATCAAAGTTCATGTAATATATATGACAACGGCGTCTCCAAAAGGTTAAAAGTATCTAGTAGACAAAAACAGAGATTCATCGAAAAGCTTGAAAGTTATTCAAAGTCATTCTGCATATGGCCACTGAACATTTTGATATTTTTCCGTTTCTCTCTATTAATACAACATGATCAACATCTACTATAGTGAATATTTAAATGTATCTTCGGGGTTTACTAAGAAATAACTATTAAACTTTGAAAACCTGCAGTAAGCCCGCAGGCGTCCCAATATACAAAAATATCTATCTATCACTTTCATGAACACTTTAAATTCTAATATGGTCATCTATTTATTGAATTTATTAGTGAAAGGCCTTTCTATAAGGTGCAAGTCTGTAGAAAATTAGATATCTATTTATGTGGCTATAAAGCTTGTTAAATTCATGGGGATTATTGTTTAGGCCTATAGACAAGGTACATGAAACTCTTTTAATGATCCTTTTTTACTATAACACAGAGTGGATAATACCTTTTAGGATTTATACTATTTTTAAAAGGTTTCTACTCTGACGATAAAATATTTTATATCATATGAATATTTGTAAACCATACATACATGTGTAAATTGCAAACATCTATCTACTTTCTATAAGTTACATCATAAAATATTCATTACAAGTACTTCGAACAGATACCTCTTAATAATATAGTGAAAGACGAGAATACAACAAGAACAGTAAATGTTTACGAATGAAATCTACCAATGTTAAGATTTGTGACGTTAAAAAGTTTAGAAAAATATTTATAATCTCTGGTTTGAAGTCGACGTTACCCTTATCATAATTATTATTAGAACACACGCAGTCGATTCCTCAGTCATATTGTTGTTTGGTACAATACGTATTTTCTGAAACGAAACGCTTAATTAAAATTAACATGTTTAAACACCCGCCATTATTAATCGTGTAACTTAATCGTCCTATTATACAATAACTAACAAATTGCTAGCATATTTAATTTTTGTGACACTTTTAGTGACCTTTTCGTTGAAAAAAAGAATTAAAGCATAGCTGTTCGACTTAAATAATAAAAATAACCGATTAATATAATCAATTAAGCTTTGGCAGTCAAAGCGGATCACGCACATATTGGCAACGCACACGCGCTTATGTTAATAATTTACAGTGCATTGACAATTCCTCTAACCCGATACTATAATATTATTTACCCTTCATGTTTCAATTCAAAGTTCCTGTGTATAGTGTCTGTATAGTGCTTTCAACCGTTCTATCACTGCGTTCTATATGAGTAAGAGTTACATGTTGGTACACATAGATGGCGCTAATCACAAACATAAATTACAATGTTCGATTAATATTGATATCAAGAATTCAAATTTAATTAATTGCAATGTTTACACCAGATCTAATACAATAATATGACATTCAACAAACTTTCAGACTAAAACATAATAATTTCTACTTCCCTTAGGCAGGTTTTAATAGATAAGTTGAAGTTTAGAAGACATACTTGAACTAGTTACATGACCTTTTAATAACAAAGTTTATAAGATCACATACTGGGATGGGTAAGGGATTGAAAATCATCGTTATTTATTAGTAGTCGGATAAAGTAAAAGGAACACTCGTGCTAATTCAGTTAAATAGACTTTAAGGTAATGTGTGAAAGTTCAAATTCATCTGCACCACTACGATCAATGTAAATTACTCTTAGTCTAATTATTTAAAATCTGAAGGGTTGCTATTAGCCATAAATAATGCAAGGGTTTGTTCAAGACTAGAATAAAATCGCATACCTAATGTGCGCCTAAAATTATTATAATCCATTTTAAGTCGGCGAGCAGACTTTATCCTAGGCAAGAAGTTTCTTGCAGTTTGTGTGACGATAGGTTACAGTTGTGGGGTTAAAGGGTTGTGTAACTTTAATGCGCGGAGGCTGCGGGAGAGGGCGCGGGGGGCGCAGGGGGCGCGGCGTGTCTGAGCCGCGCGCGCACCTCTTGCAACGTTGGGTTAGTACCCGATTCTATTTCTTCTGTGTTTTGTTCCTGCGCTTGTTCTAAACGACGGGCGCGCTCGGCTATTGCTCGTTCTAATTCTGGAAGCAAGAAACATAAACACCAGATAAGACGAAGTTAAATCAATTTCTCTAACGAAAACTGACGAGGCTTAAAATTACAATTACTGGGGTGTCCGTGTGGTGACGGATTAAGAATACAGAGTTTCACCACCCCTATTCATCCCGTGGGTGTCGTAAGAAGCGACTAAGGGACCAAATTAAGCAGGACAACAGCACTGCTGAGAGAAGGAAAACTTGACACAAACCCTATACCAAGCCGTCTGGCCAGCGTGGTAAAGTAGGACAAAACCCCCTTTCTAAAGAGAGGTCTATGTCCAGCAGTGGACTATTATAGGCTGTTGATTATAGTTGATCGCAGTTGGAAAAGAGTCGTCACGGGTTTTTTATTTCCATGCAAATATGGCAGAATAGTGATTAATAAATGTTGTACCAAGGTCTTTCAACGTTCACACTAGTAACTGATACTTTAATATTGCCATCTTCACTTTGAATAGTATCTGGGAGCTTGTTATATATTTTGATGGAAGTTTGTCATAAATGGGCCGGTAGAATGCATAGTTAATTTAGAGGTTGGCAGCTTTAATCTGTTTTTGTGCCTTAGTGTATATTTTTTGTGATGTCTTCCCTTCTATTGTAGAATTCTGGATACAGGCGAAGAAATGTGCATATTTCAAATATATAGGTACATCCATACAAGGTAGTGTTAGAATGTTATGTTTCGGGAAATAAGGTCTATAGCTCTGTGTATCGTTAATGTTCACTAGTATCCTAATTATTATGTTTTATAGGGTGAAAAGGTGTTGTTGAAGTGAATCGGTACTATTGCCCCGAAGAATAATGTCATAATTAAACCGTGAATAGGGTCCATAATAGGTTGTCAAGGCAGTTTACATGTCAGTGTTTTTTTTTTAATTTCTCCAAGAGTTATAATGAAAATGGTGAAATTTTAGATTTTATTTTCGAATCGAACTAAGAAGTAGAAGAAAATTTAGTTTAGGGCGAACAGGTGTTTTTAAACGTACACCTGGTCGTACGTTTGTTTAATATAACAGATCGATGAATAGACGTAAAGATAATATTTCTGATGTTCAGGCTACAAAAACTTAACCAGTAAGTTAAGTTTTTGTAGCCTGAAGTTACCTTCAGTTTATTTCGATTCTTTACACTCTTTAGATACACTCTTATAATGTAGAGGCCACGCGACGTTAAAGCCTTCAATATGGTAGGCTAAGAAGGGGTATATTAATAGCTTCATTAAAGTAAGGTCACTTAGCGGGCTCACGCCCAGAGAATTGTAATAAGTACACCCTTTCTTGATCTTAAAAACCAGTTCAATAGTTAAACTATCGTGCTGCCTTTGTCATCACACAAAGTGTACTAACCTTAAGTTTTATTGTCATTAAGTTTATCCAGGTTTTACCTACGTTAAACCAAATTTACAAAAAGAGGTAAACTAAATATGGGGTCTACCAATAAGAACGTCCTGGTTTAAAAATTGAATAAAACACACGCGGTGCACCATTTCGGCCAGTATGTCGGCTATGGCTCGTCGAATGTTGGTTTTTAGGTCACGAATTGTAGCTGGATTATTGCTGTTTAGATGCACTTGCAGATGCAGATGCACTTTAGATTTAACGTAACCCTAAAGAAATTAGTCTAAAGGTGTTAAATCACACGATCTTGGTAGCCAACTGATCGGTCCATTTCTCGAAATTAAGGACTCACCAAACTTTCCACGCAATAATTCCATGTTCACTCGAGTAATGTGAGGTGGTGCACCGTTTTGTTGAAAATAAAGGTCGTCTGCATCAATATCATCAAATTCCGGAAAGAAATATTCGGTTAACATCGAGTTATAGCGCTCGCCATTCACAGCAACAGGGTTTCCTTCGTCACTTTCAAAGAAGTACGGACCAATTATTCCACCGTACCATAAACCGCACCAAACTGTTATTTTTTTGCGGATGCAATGGTGATTCATGAACCACACGTGAAATGGGCCTCATCTGAGAAGATGATTTTAAACGAAAATCGTCATAGGCTTCCATCATTTCCAGTGCATAATCGGCAAATTCACGACGGATACAATGGTCGGATGGCTTTAATTCCTGTGCCAAAACAATTTTGTAAGGGTGTAGGCCCAAATCCAACCGCAAAATACGGCAGCTGGTCATTGGAGAGAGTCCCAACTCTTGTGAACGGCGTTGCACTTATCGATTTGAATTCGCATCAGCACTGGCCTGAACGGCTGCGATATTCTCTTCACTACGGGCATTTCTTTGTCTCACAGGCACAGCAGTATCGTGGAGAGTGAATTCACTTTCAAATTTTGTTATTATGCGATTTATAGCGCGCACAGAAGGAGCACTATGACAACCGTTTTTTGCGCGAAGCGCTCTTACTGTAATTTTGGACTAAGAATAGAGGAATAAGAAATAATAATAGACGAAGAATAAGAATAGACGGATTAAGAATAGAGAGTGTGGTGTCACTATTAATTCCATGGTATTCCGTGGGTGTCGTAAGACTAAGGGGGCAAACTACGCAGGAATAAAGCGTGTAAAAAGAAGGAAAACTCGACACAAACCCTATACCAACCCGTCTGTCCAGCGTGGTATAGGGTTTTTGATATTGATCGCAGTTGGCTCTTTATTTCCATGCAAATATGTAAGAATAGTGATGAATAAATGTTGTACCAAGGTCTTTTACGTTCACACTAGTAACTGATACTTTATGACCTTAATGAATGAAATTATTTTGTCAGTGTTGGTACCTGAGATCATTTACGGGTTATAAAGTCACATTTACCTCAAACAGTTTTAAAAAATGCAGTTAATAATCTATTTATTTTCGAATTTTCAAAATACATTCAAGTTAGTCTGTGTACTTGTATTTATAGTAGGTATCTAATTTTACTTCGGCATACTATATTTTTAACTAAACTAGGAGAAAATGAATCCTAACTACATAATAATAACATTTGAGTTTCAGTTTGTTCGTACCTATATTTGTCACTTAACTTTTTAAACGTTCTCTTATCAATCATCAAGAAACTTTGAAAGGATAAAACTATCTGCATTATTCAGATATTTATTCATTCACATAAAAGACTTTTGTATATAAATTTCTAATGATATCAAAATATATTTTTTTGCTAACCTGAGACCTTGTAAATGAAGCGTGTGGTCGTTGTAGTTTTAGGTCATAATCCTCCATATGAATGAATTCTTAATATGACCGCTAAGGCGCGGAGTTCTTAATGACTGCGGATAGTGATTTCTACCACGCCTGACCAATCGGACAGACGGGAAACAACCAGATTCAGTTTCACTTTCATCCAACCTTGGTCATCGATATCCGCGTACAGCCAATTAGAGAAAATTGTTTTAAGTGCTAACAACTATTTCGAAACGAGATGAAGACTAAGTTAAAATTCATTTACTCTGTGTGCCTGGAAAGGGATCGTTCAATAATTGACTTGTGGGGTGAACGCCCGCCGAGTGCACCTGCGGTGCTCATATCGAACTGCACCGGATAAAGAACCAGCGTCCAAATGCGCAAGCAAAAAAACCGACCCATACGAGTTTTGTGGAATTTGTATTCAAACTTCGACACAAAATAAAACCTAACAAGCGAATGAAAAAAATAAATAGGCCAGCGAACTTGTTTCATATTTTTTTACATCTCATCTATGTATTGCATGTCTATGAGGGAAGGAGAGGCGGTTAATAAGTAGTTTGGAATGGTTAGTGTGTTTTAATAAAACGATGAAATGAAACTATGTAACGATTCAGCAACGGATGTGGCGCGTGCTGGTAAATCGGTTTCACGATTCATTACCTAACGTTTGTTAAATCAAATATGTACTATATATTTCGCAAGTATGTCTGTCTGTACCTAAGTAGTTTATTGTGAATTTATTAATCGTAATAACACAAATAAAAAAGAAGTTACTCAACTACAATGGTAACCGTTAGAGCATCGATTTGAGGACCATCATGAGCGTGTATGAAATATGATCATATACCTAATACAATGTATTAATTACCTGGGGTCTCCCGGTGTTCCTTTACTTGATTTAAAATCTGCTTCTCTTTGTGTTTCGACAGGGCCCTCTCCAGTTCACTTTTCTGGTTAAGAACATTCTTTCCTCTGAAATAAAATGAGAACAAAAATTAAAATAATAGGTACATAATAATTTTCATAGTGGGCAAAGAACTTTAAGAATAAATTGGAACCGCAATCTTATCGCGACTGATAACATTCATACAAAAACCGTTACCATATATGGTCACAATTTGGTAGACGATTTTTATTTATATTACGTAATTTGTGATAAAGATAAGGTTTTGCAATCTAAGTACAATGACAGTGGATTGACTTATCGGAATTATAATTTATTCCAGTAACTGCAACATTTCTCGGACTACTAACATGTGTATAACTTAGTGATTCTTGTTTTCGTATTTCACGGCTGTCCATCAAAGTCCTACAATAGTGTGTGGTGTGGTTATCATTGGGCCAAAAAACACTTATTTCAAATTCAAATATTTTACAATGCGGAATTATTAAATGCTTTAGAATAATTTTAGACTAATTTACGTTCCTTGATAAAATATATGCGCATATCCTTGAAAGCATGTTATTTCAACAGCAACCATTCTAATGCGGAGTTACATTTGAACAATAACAAGTATCTAACAGAGTAGGTAGGTGTTTTTTGCGTTTTTCATTGAGATAGTTCCCTAGCAGCATTTCCCACGCACCGTACCTGCATGTGTGGACTATTTTGTACGTATGACGTCAGTTAACTTACTGCATTGTTTTCTTTGCTTTGCTGCACATGTGTCGCGCGTTAGCGCACTGCATTAGCGCGTAATAAGTATATCAAATATGTCTCATAGCGTTGCATGTCAGTTCGGTTTTGTTTTAGTATTTTATCGCGTACATTAATATTACGTACACTACTTTGTTTATCAGTGGTGCTGAATCACGAATACAGTTTTTCAATAATTGTAACACCCATCGAAGCTTCACTAAAACTAAGTATTATACGAGTATCTATAAACAAATATGGACTGGTGACGTGCTCATTTCGAGTATTAAATTTTTTAAATTCGATATTCGATTCTCGTCTAAGCTTTAACAGCTTAGGCGAGAATTGAGTATCGAGTTACCTCCGAGTATCCTGTTACCGTGAGATCGTCAGAATGATTTAATCCTAACTAATTGCTACCATCTTCATGGGATAACGTCGCACTACCCGCATCACTCCAATCAAGAGCAATCTCGACTCGATCTCGACTGCCGGAATTTAATGTATTAGTAACGTAGTTACACGAGAAATTAAGAGTTCGATACACAATATTTTCGCTTATATATTGTTCTGCTGTCTATCAAGTTCCTTACCGTGCTTCAACAACTATTTTAGGTAGAGGCCAGATTCGATTAAAAAAAAAAAGTTACTATTATTATGTTTGTTGGATGTAAAAAATAAGTATTGCTTTATTTATAGTATTTGTTTTAGTTTTATAAAGAAAAAGTATAAAATAACCCTTCCTCCACTCTCATTCCAGTTTCAGGGCAACCGTTGTCTGCAACCACTATTAGGCAGTGCTGTTTTTCGGTTTTAGAATTTACTTATTTCATTACTCATATTTTCAGTTATCAGTTATCAGTTTAGAAAAAAAATGAAATTATATTATCTCACAACAACTCTACGAATAAAAGCGTTGTACCTAGTAGATATAGAATTCCCGTTAGTGAACTGGGAATTGCTTCCTTCCGCTAAGCTGCGCTCGCAGCCGTGCACGGAAATAACAGGACGAGACGTCCCCGACAATCGCATTGACGGGGAAATGGACTGAATCAACAGGTCAAAACATCTGTAAAATGTATTCATCAGCATTCCTCAATCGAGTTGAGTTCTTTAACAAAAACATATGCTCGGGTGATGAATGCTAGTACAATAAGATCGGCGCAATTCGGGCGACAGATGTTGAATAATATTACAGCGGGTGCAAGTCTCCGGACCGGATGCGGTGCACCTGTGCGCTAAGAAGCCGAACCAAACTTAGACTTAGCAAAAACTAAATACTCTTTTGACTGGTAAGTGCAAATTTACAGTATCCGTTGATTCTATGTTTAACGCTAAAAGTATGCTTTTGTAGGTATGCTTTTGTAAATATCGAAATGTATCACTCAAACACTTTATGTATTGACTATTTTCTGCACATGAACTAGCGGTACTTACGAGTACTATAATTTACAGTACCAGTTAATAATGTTATGTTGTACCTACATCGTTTAAGTGTTAAATAAATAAATAAAAATATTTCGTCGTATGTATAAGGTAGGGTATAGCATACATTCGATAGAAATATGACCAAATTAAACATGTTTTGATAATAATCATTACTTCATTTCATATTACAGACCAAATGGATGACCGCCACTATCCGGTATTCAGCCTATGCGGGCTGGATTTGCTATCCGGTTGGTTAACGAATAGTGAGCAAGTATCTGGCCGGATACCAGAAAGTAAATATGTATAGACTTTTTATTAAAATTACATCATTTTTTTACTTGCAGCAAAATTAATAGTACTTCTTAGTTAAACAATAGAACTATTAATTATAATAATAGTTAAGTCTGAAAGTAATTACAGGGGGTCTCTGTATTAAAGCTATGCAACTGTTAAGTCTAAAGTTTATATTCAATGAACATAGATAAATAGATAGTTTACATATAATAATTTTCGAGAACTACATTTACTTAAGTATTCCATTTCCTGTTATATGAAAAAAAGCGGTATTTTTCATAATTTTATTGTTGTTATTCAAATTTCTGATTCATTCCAAAACTTCACTAATGTATGGCCGAATAATATATTTCATCTTGTCACTAATTTAGTGTCAATATAAGACATTCCTGGGGTGTCGCTATTAAAATTATGTACTTTAATCAATCAGAAACCAGAAAAGTTTCACGTAATACTATGTTACATAGTTTTCTGGTGTTGCGTAAGAAGCTTAAGACAATATTTTCTTGCAATGGTCATTGGCTCAATACTCGATTTTTTGTGGCTCACTTAGTTTAAGTTGTTATAGCCGTCAGATGCATGTCAAATGAATAATGCCATTTCCCACGCGAATTGAAGAATGTTCGGGAATATGTATATCATTGTATAATTGGGTAAATAGTGTGAAAACTTAATGTAATTTCTTATTTAACACATAGGAACTTTATACAAGGAAATCGTCTCTACTCAAACAGGTGTAGATAACATAATCGCCGTGTTACGTCGTAGCTACCTTGTTGATTCCTTTGTGAAATACATGTTTTAATTTTTCAGATGCCCAGAGAAGAAGGCAAAACTATTACACCCTTATAAATTATGTTCGAAATTTCACCACCAGGCGATTTCTAGAAAATCGCGACTTAAAAGCACCAAAATATTTTGATTAATGAAATAAGTACTAACATCCTTTGATTGAAAAGCAGCTCCCTGTGCAGATCCATACGTTGAGGATTCTCCAAACAAGGGTTCGGCAGGCGGCGCGGGGCGATGAGTCTATCGCTCCCCGCGCTCCCCTCCTGAACCATCTCCACGTCCGCACTCACGGCAGCCTCTGACACCAGCGTGGGAACCAAGCCCACGCCGCTAGCTCCGCTCAACGCGTTAGCTGATATTACTGCGAATAAAAATATCTATTATTACCTAATGAGTTGTATACAAGTGTAAACTTTAGTGCATATAGTACAACATGATAGAAACTAAATAGGCCTTGTGGTCTAGTGTTTACTAACTCTGACTGCTAATCACGATAATTTGTTCTGTATCTAGTTTATCTTATATTTTTTAGTTTATATGTATGTAATTTATCTATAATACATATGTTTAAAAAAAGTCGTATGGTACCGTGGGACACCCGATAGGAAAGATGCGCTGTTTGACAAATATTTATTCCGACAGTCTGACAATTATAATGACTGACATACTGGCACACATCAAAGCAGTGTTGTGGTATATTTAATGATGCCATTGTACCTATCTGCTAATTAAAAAGATTGAACGTAAGTTTGTTTGTCCTTTCTTCTCGTAAGCCTCAACCCCTTGGAAACGGACGGTTTTAGATCGGTACAGGCATATAGTACATTTTCAGAAACAGACATTGTTGTTATTGTGCGTGTTGATCTATGACTTTAAAGTCTACATAAGGGACGATTTCAATTATTATTTATACGAAATAAAACCTTAATTTTAAGATGAGTTTGAGGTTGAGGTTTGAGTTTAAAAGGCGGAGTTCTCCAGCTAGGTATACCTAATATACAATAAACATACGGCAAACTCATATACGGAAAAGCACGGAAAAGATGAACATCATAAAACGCATTTTTTTTCCATGAGATAATTAGCTAACAACGTAATACCTGCACACTATAAAGGTACACATTATATGTGTATCTAATGAATCATGGATGATATCATCACAGTCATGGCTGCTGCTAAAGCATAGTAATACAAGACCGTGCGCAAGCATTAGAAGATTTGGTAAAAAATGTATTAGCATGCAGTTTGTTATTGTTCAACTTTTAAGGCCGGACGTGGTTCTACACATTCATAATATTCAAATCCAATAAATTGTGTCCAAAGGTCGTCTCAGCTATTTTGATCACACATTTTGTAGTGCTCTCAATTTTTGCACACTTTTAGAAGAAACTATATATATAAAACATATATTATATCGAAGACTCCTACGCAAAATTCTGATAAAATCCATATACATTACGAAAATTTTCCATGAGTAGTCGTTGTTTAAGATTCTATTCATTAAAATTATTCATCATTAACCAAAAGTAGTCGTGTTGCCTGATTCATGTTCTATAGCGACTCATTTCAATTCACATTTTCTTTGTTATTCATTAGTGTTGGATCACTTGCTGCCGATTATTATGCAGTAACTTTAGATTTTAATCATGTTTTCAATTACAAAAACAGGACTGAATAACTACAGTATAAACCATTAATAAATTATAACGAATACAATAATTATGAGGATTTCACTTCGACTTTATTGTCGAGTACTAAACAAAAAATCACAAACGTAGAAAGACTGAAAACTGCACATTAAGACAAAATTAAACAAGTTGATAAAAACAAAATAATAATTTGTCAATGAATGTTGGCTACTAAATATAGTCATACATCTTATACTATACATGTTTATGTAGGTATTCGTAACTGTAAAGAATGCGGTAGGTATTGGAAATACTTCAGATAAAAGACGAGTCGCATTGTTTTATGACTGTGACCCCATTTACGAGCGGAATACGTCAGTAGTGTGATTGTGAGCCCTATGAGTTCAGGTTAATAAGAACGTCGAGTGTCGAGCCTTCTCCCTTTCTTTCGGGGGAAATAGCAGTGTAATATACAAATGATGATTTTTTCTGGGGAGCACAATCTGCCATCCAACTTTTTAAAACGTTCTCGTTATCTCAAGCGACGACCTCATTTTAAAAGCTTATCCGGACAGAAATAATTTATATGTGCAAATAGTAGATTTACATTAATTTAATGTTTACTCATTTGTAGTTCATTATGGAATTAAACCCTCAACGCAAGAAATTTAAAGCAAAAAGAGATTAAACTAGCTTCCTCTGGTGCGGCAGCTCAGAATATAGGCACTATTGTGTTTCTGTGCCTTGCTTAAAACGAAAAAATTAAGTAAAAGATAAATAAAATTTACATCCACCAACCACCTTTTGTTTTAAATTACGAATGAACTTTACTCTCACCGACCCTTCAACAAAGAATTTCTTAGGGTTGATGTTCTTTAGGAACATTGCGCTTTTGATAAACAATTACGGTACGTAATCTTATTTTTTAGCTATAAAAGTCCTGCGATATATAAATGTATCTGTATAATCTGCGAAATACCATGGAATAAAAGTAAAGAAAAAAGTGATCATTATATGTAGTAAAATAGTGAATGTTGATCATCCCTACCGAGTTATTTAATGTACCCATAGAGTTATAAGATTACAAAAAAGGATTAGCTTCTGAGGAAAACTAGTTTACGGGGAAATCTATGAGTCAGAAAGAGAGAACAAGGAAGAGATAGAGATATTGTATTTGATTTATAAAATGCCCATAATTTTCCTTCCAATTATTAACCTAATCCATACTTATATTATAAATGTGAAAGTGAGTGTGCCTGTTTGTTTGTTGGTTGTGCTTTCACGCTAAACGAATAAATCGATTTAAAAAAATCTCAGTAACAAAGGGTAGGTACTTTTTACAGCGATAACTATACTAAACTTTGGGACGGCTTTTTACTGCGGGTATATCACCATCATGTTAACAAGCGATATCACTTAAAATTCATGCTAAATTACATAATTGCAATTTTTATGATGGTGTCGAAACGGTAGAGGGAAACTGTAAAGCAATAACGTATAACGTTAGCCACTTATAGATAAATGTTATCAGGTTTGTTTCATGTTTTACATCTGATTAGGTGGAATCAATGAGCGTTGTGTTTTTATAGCGTAAATAGTATGATTTCGAAATATGTGAAATATTTATTATTTTATTTAAACCGTAATAAAAAAATGTTAATAGGATATTCTTTAATATACTAATAATGGATAAAAATATAAACACCGCCTGAACGTAAAAACAAATCCGATATAATAATATATAATATAATCTGTGTTGCTTACATGAAGTCTCGTACAGTAGGCATACTGTACGAGACTTCATAGTTTATTTTGCATAGTAGACTTTGCCTGCCTTTAATAGTCCACTGCTGGACATAGGCCTCTCCTTAGAAAGGACGTTTATAATATATTTGTACTTACATAATATATATGTTTCTCTTGAAGCGTTAGAATAATTTACTACTCTTTCTAAAATATATATGATAAATATGTGGTACATTATTTTCGCCTATTTGATAAAAATATATTTAAAAATTATTCCACAATTATTTGAACAAAAAAGTACTTAGGGACGGAATAAAATCACTCTCACCTACGATAAATCATATTATTAATTAGCTATATAATCATACTGTGACTAATTTACAAAACCACTGCGACTTATTATTACGCTAGTGCCAGACACACGAAAGGTCTAAATATAAAAAAAACGCTATCTTTGATAAAAAAAATTGATTGATTTTGATGGTATTTATCTTGTCTATGATCAAATCACAATCAAATGTGTCGCACTGAGTTTAACAATTATTTCATCATATGATTATGATTTAAAAGTACCAATAATTTCCATGTCTCAATACTACGTATTTGTGAAGCAACCAGGCACACTATATTTTAGTACGAATAAGTAATGATTGATTGATTGATGGAAAAGTAATGTATTAAACGACCACTATAATGGACAGTTTATCCTTCTTCCTTAACCAGTAAGTAACTAATTAATATATAATTAAAAACTCATGTTATTAATTAAGAGTTAAGTTTTGATAGACGTATGATAGATATAAAAAAATATTACAGTCACGAGTTGATGTTAAAAGTTTTTTAGGATATTCGACATATGCAGCTAGAAGAATTATTGCATAAGATAGTTCAATTATGCAACTTTAAGCCGATATAATAACAAGTACGATTTTAATCCGTTTCCTCATTGCGTCAAAACAGCTCGGACGCAGATAGAAACCAGTTAGACCTTTTCTTGACAGACAAATTACGTCTATAATCCCGCGAGCCTAGCGTTCTTCGACTGGCTAAAGAAAGTCGTTACACGGGGTCAGATCGTAGACATTATGATTTCATACGAATATTTACAGTTTCTAGACATAAGAGTTTAATTAACTGAACACCCTTACCACCAACGACGTATTAAAACATTATAAATACATAGCATGTCGATACTTGGCGTGTCAGTGCCATAAATAGACTATACATAACGTCAAATACTTTCTAGGCGCAGATCGATATTTGAGAAAATGAGTTACTTTTCCCTACCGTTTCAGCCCAGCGCATGCACGGTTACAATAAGGACATGTTAATTTTTTAATATGGCATAGAAGGGATGAGCAGATGGGTCACCTGCTGGTAAGTGAGTACCGCCGTCCACAGACACCTCCAACTTAGAAGTCACAAGTGCGTCGCCACCAATTTTTCCCCCCTCTCCAGAATTAGTTGAGCTTCGGGAACTTCACTCACTGGATTAAAAATAACAAAAGAATTGAAGAGTATATAATAATTAGAAATGTATGTTTTTAGAAGCTTTTATTTAACTTGTAATGTTTGTATGTATAATGTGTGTTTGGCTTAGAACCACTTTCAGATGTTCGATTGGACTCAAACTTGGTGTTTATATGTATCTTCGGCAAATAATAAAATACTCTATCGTTATCAATATGTTATCGATAATTAAAGGTAACTATTTAATTGATAAAAAATATTATTGATTAATTTTCAATGTTTTCTATAATATTTAAATATTGTTTTGAAAAAGCAATAGTTATATCACAAGTTTTATTTTACTATATACCAGGTACTTTAGAAGACAATACTTTGTACCTCCTTTTAAGTAAATTTCGCCAACGTAGATCTTGAATTTTACCCAATACTGGCTTTTGTCCGCGGCTCCGCTCGCGTATTGTCGGTTATGTTATATTTATGTTACTCGCTGATAATGTAGCTTTCCATTGGTGAAAGAGTTTTTTAAATCGGTTTAGTGGTTTAGGCGTAAAATAAAAAAATAAACTCACTTTCAGATTTATAATATAAGTGTGGATTATTTTTGTGTTTAAAATTATACGAAAACTAGCTCCTGTAAATACGTTGACGGTACGGTGGTTGGTACGGATAGTCTTTACAGTGACAGTCCAAGTAATATTAGTCAACATTATAAATTAAAACATTTACAGTAATGAATTCTATTCTAAATTTGTCAGGTCAGGCAAGATATACGATAGTTACCCAAAATCCTAACGCACCTAAAAGTTATAGTAAGTTTAAATGATATCACTTTTTTTTTACATTTTTTATAATACAACCGATTCGTTCAAAAGTTATCGTTTCATGGTTTTCTTGCCCGACTCTCTGTATGAGTTCGTAATTTGGTTTTTATGCGAGCTAGAAAGAAGGATGGATGGAAGAGGGTTCCTATTAGCAGTTGCGGCCTTTTGTTAAAGGGTTCGGTATAGATTTGATTTGAACTGTTTTCTTGCCTCAATAAAACATTCAAGAAAGCTAAGCACAGAAAAGCCTTTAATTACTTTTGTCAATAATTATAACTTCTATAATACGTATTCTTACATTTAAAGTACGTAAAAACTTTTATTATAAAAGTTTGGGTGTGTGTGACCACTTTTTTTTATATGCGATTTCATACGTAACTTAGGGTTGTTCTGTCTTCATTCCATGAAATCTTCTTTCTTAACTCTTGCCAGTTTTTATTCCACATTATTCCCAGGACATTTTATTTCCTATTCTTAACTCATTCGATTTTGTTTATTCTGCTATTCTTACCCACTCATAACTCATCCCTTACTACAATTTTCTTATAGCAACACGTTTTGTCAGTAAAATTTAAACTAGGTACCTAGTTGTTAGTTCCATTGATGTTTGCTTTTATGACATGGCATTCAGAGACAAACTGGTTTTGGGTCTTGCAAAAAAATAAACTTCAATGTCTACACTAATGAAAAGACTCAATTTCGAAGAGTTACATAATTTATAAACTTGTTTGCCTAAGTGTCAAATATGCATATTTTATTTGTACACGCAGATTGTGAGAAATGTGATGATTAGGGAAATTACGGCAAATAATGCAATGTAAGAAGCTAAATTATGGTATTTTAAATAACAAAACAAATAATCACATAGGTTATTTCCTCTACGTGTATTTTGTAACGTAAAATTTCATGTTTTTGTTCGTATTTACCCGTCCGTAGTCCGTCCGTTAGCGTTTACAAGATGTGTACGAATCGATGTAGGCATACTCCTTTTGATATCGGGTATATAAAATGATGAAATACAAATTTTCAACGAAACATGTGTGTACATGAAAACTAAATATTTACAGCAATAAAATTATTTTCGCTCTATAGACACATGACCACAAACTGCAGCAGTGTATCAAAACGTAAACAAACTCTCTTTAGAACATTATTGGTTATTTGTAAATAGAAGTAGGTAATAACTGCTACTATAAAGCAAAAGTTGGTAATAAAATTTAAGTACGTACCTTTCACAATAGCTTTTGTATATAGGTACAGTCGCCCACAGGGAGTGTCCTTGAAAAGGATATCTACGGTGTATATAGACGAATTGTATGTATCGAACCAGCCGTCTTTGAAGGTCAGAGCTACACGGAGTAATATTTCTTTCAAGGTTATTTGAAAAACTGAAAAATAATCTTAGAGATTTTCTAACGTATTCTACGCTTGGCTAAGTGAAGTCACCTTGTTAGGTATCTAAATTATTTCCATGATAAGCGTCTAAAGAGTCTTAAAGAAGATTATAATGTCAAATACCTTAAAGATAAAATGACTATCTTGTATAGCTTGTTTTTTACTTTTATACTTCCATATTGTCGCTTATAATATTTAACACCGCGGATGTTAGGTTTATTCAATATAATAATAAAATATAGATTCTCCGCCAATCACCTAGTACTTGAAAGATGCTATAATCAGTATTGAACATTTGAGAATTGTATATTTTTAACATTTTTACCCGGCTACACAAAAAATAACTCTTAAAATTTAAACTGCGCTTGCTAGTACTAAAAACATGTAGGTATGAGAGTGTACGACAAGACAAAATTCCCAACTCACGCAAACGTTGCATTGCAACTGTATTTA